CTCGCCCCCCGAGGGTGTCCGCGGAGGGGGTGCCCCCCCGCCTCTAGATCACGCCGGGGATTTAAGCCGGCTGCCAGCAGTGAGCGGAGCCGAGACCCCATTTCCACGGCAAAGCCGGATACCACACAGCCACACCGCCTGGATCCTGCCCGGGGTTTTCCACGCCTGCAAACGACCACGGCTGAGAAGCAGAAATCCGGGGAAGGGACGTGAGGGACGTCGGCTGAGACCCAGCAGCCCCAGGTCCCCCGCAGGACCTGCCGGAGCCCCCTCCCCGCCACGCTGGTCGCGGGCAGCCCACCCGCAGTGCCGAGCGTACCGCAGCGACAGGCAGAGGCTGGGGGGCTGCTTGACCCTCCCAACCCGAAGCAGGGCTGAGCACTGAAGTATTTTTCCACCCTGCACCCTGAAAGTTCCCGATGTAAGAGGCAAATCCTGCACCCACACGAGGCCTCGCTGCTACCCTGCCCGAACCCGGCACCCAGCCCGTGCCAGCACCCAGCGCCCTGGGAGAACAGCCTCTCCCCCCTACACATCTTGCCTTTTCCTCCCTACAAGCCAACATTTGCAATCACACATTTTTCAAACAAAACACGCCCGACATCTGGCCGTCCCCGGGTAAAACCTTACCTGCTGGCGCGGACACGGGCTGGGCCTGCTGGGAGGCAGCAGGCAGGGAAAAACCTCTTTCCACAGCCAAGTTCATCTCCGCTTGCCTTCCCAACCACAGCGAAAGCAACGCTCAAAAACTTCTCCCTGCGTGGAAACGCGCCACGCGAGGACCTGCCTCATCCACCTCTGGAGACCCGAGCGCCCGTCCCGGGCGGCAGCTGAGCCCCGCGGGGCTCCTCACCCGAGGACCGCGGGCGCCGGGGCTGTCAGCATCCTCCCCGGCGGCTGCTCCGTGTTCGCCGTGGGGTTTTGGGATGGTTCCCCCACATCTCGGTGCCCCGTACCATAGCAGAGCTCACCCCACCGCAGTGCCGAGCAGGCGGGTGTTTGCAGAGTGTCTTCAAGTCGCTCGAGAAAGGAGCGGAGAATTAATATTCCTTTTAATTAAAGGCAGAAAAATCTCTTTGTTCCTGAACAGAGAGAAAACAACAGAGGGAAGAGCTCAAAAGCTCTTTCTAAGCTAGAGACGAGACCATCGCTTAGATTCAAAGACACTGTCAACGTGCACGTGACCTCAAATTAAAAAAACAAAATGAAACCCAGCAGCGGCAGCAGCTCTTCTCTGAAAGCGAAGGAAAGTTGCAAAGTTTTTCTTGGCTAAGAGGGGGGTGGGGGGGGAATCCAACAAAAAAGGTGCGTTTCACCAGAGAAACACTCTGCAGTATCCGAAGGCACCATCCAGCGGCGAGGGCTGCGTGGGGGAGTGATGGGGGGAGCTGGCCGTGCCCCAGCCCGGAGGAGCCACGGAGGAGCGCGGTGCCAGCCTCGCTCCACGGCTACGCCGACGGCATCCCCTTGGCAAAGCCAGGCCGGAGCGGGCGGCCGGCAAACGCCACTTAATGCAATTCTGATGGGAAAGCAGGAGCGGGACGGCGATTAATGGCTGCGAGGACCAGAAGCAGGGCAGCGCTGAGGCAGAGAGCTGGGGGCTCCCCGAGCCAGCCTTCATCCCCAAATCTGCGTCCAACACAACCGTCCCCCGGCACGCGCCAGGACGCGGCGCCGGCACAGACCCACGTCCTCGCGTGTAAATAGGGAATTCTGCTGCTGTAGCTGGAACTTCCCACACCAGCCCCGGGTTTCCTCCCACAAACTCTCCCGAGTGGATCAGCTCCTCCTGGCCGCGAAACGCGGCTCCATCTCTAAATCGGCGGCGGCCAGAGCGGGATGCGGAGCCGGCGGGTTGGTGCTCCGAGGAGGAGGGATGCAGGGATGAAAACGACTTCTCCCACCGGGCAGAAGT